TCATAGGTGCTCGCTAACAGCACTTCCCCCAATTGTATGTTAAGGCTGTATGGAGAACATGTGTCTTTGCTGTCGGTGGGTGTCCGTGTGTTGGTGTGGGTAGATCAGGCTGGACGCGCGCGCAGGTGCACGCGTGGTCACGACCCACACCTGCGCAGCTGCTGACTTCGCCACGCGGAGGCCACGCGGCGTGGCGCGAGTCGGGGCACGCGTGGGGGGTGGGCGGGGGGGCAGGGGCAGCTGCTGCCCTCAACACATTATGGGCGATCTGAGCTGATTACATCGCATCACTTACACCTCCTCAACCTCAACACCTACACCTCCTCAACCTCAACACCTACACCTCCTCAACCTCAACACCTACACCTCCTCAACCTCAACACCTACACCTCCTCAACCTCAACACCTACACCTCCTCAACACCTACACAACCTCAACCTCAACACCTACACCTCCTCAACATCAACACCTACACCTTGTCAACCTCAACACCTACACCTCCTCAACCTCAACACCTACACCTCCTCAACCTCAACACCTACACCTCCTCAACACCTACACAACCTCAACCTCAACACCTACACCTCCTCAACCTCAACACCTACACCTCCTCAACACCTACACAACCTCAACCTCAACACCTACACCTCCTCAACCTCAGCACCTACACCTCCTCAACACCTACACAACCTCAACCTCAACACCTACACCTCGTCAACCTCAACACCTACACCTCCTCAACATCAACACCTCCTCAACCTCAACACCTACACCTCGTCAACCTCAACACCTACACCTCCTCAACACCTCCTCAACCTCAACACCTACACCTCCTCAACCTCAACACCTACACCTCGTCAACCTCAACACCTCCTCAACCTCAACACCTACACCTCGTCAACCTCAACACCTCCTCAACCTCAACACCTACACCTCGTCAACCTCAACACCTACACCTACTCAACACCTCCTCAACCTCAACACCTACACCTCGTCAACCTCAACACCTACACCTACTCAACACCTCCTCAACCTCAACACCTACACCTACACAACCTCAACACCTATTCCTACACCTCCTCAACCTCAACACCTACACCTCCTCAACCTCAACACCTACACCTCCTCAACCTCAACACCTACACCTCCTCAACCTCAACACCTACACAACCTCAACATCTACACCTCAACTTTGGTACGTCTGTCTTCTTGGTTCTTTCGGTAAAGTCACGTAGAAGGGAAGTAATAAAATAATAAAAATAAAACATAATAAAATAATTCTCACGATGTTTCGGCCACAACGCAAGCAGCCGTCCTCAGGTGAAGACCAGGTCTGTCGGGGAGACAGCGTCTGAATGTCTCCCCGACAGACCTGGTCTTCACCTGAGGACAGCTGCTTGCGTTGTGGCCAAAACGTCGTGAGAATTATTTTATTATGTTTTATTTTTATTATTGTATTACTTCCCTTCTACGTGACTTTACCGAAAGAACCAAGAAGATGAATCCCTGCAGTAACGAAAGCTTTAAATCGAAATTTGGTACGTCTGCTTTAGCCGACGTGGCAGCGTCCTCAAGTTCCCTGCAGGTGTGGGGGATGGGAGGTGGGGGCCACATGTCACGGAGAAATCGGGATGTGAGATCTGAATCCAGGACAGGTGTGCGTGCGGAAGGGTAAAGTGTGTGTCGAGGTGGCTGTGTGTGTGTGGAAGGTAAGAGGCTGTGGTTAGCGCGCTGCACTAAAAACCTGGCTACCCGAGTTTGATTCGCACTCACAGTCAACATCGGTGACAGATACCTGAGCTGGTCCTGAGCCTCCCTTAGATCAGTTCAGCCTTATTTGAGTATCTGGCACAGTGTGTAAACAACAACACTTGGGATACAATGGCGGCCGGGCGTGGCGTTGGCCTTCATAGATGTTCGCCAACAGAATTGGCAGTCCAGACTTCCCCCAGAAACCCTATCTGACGGGGAAAAGTTCAAACTATACTAAACTTAACTATGTTTTATTTTACCAGGTAAGGCCCACTGAGCTATATAGCTTTTTTTTCAGAAGCGACCTGGCCACAAATAATAGTTCATTTAAGTGACTTATCACGTGGAAATTTATAGCGGCCAAATACTTTAAACGCATACTCTTTGGTTCTTTCGGTAAAGTCACGTAGGTATAAAATAAAGAACCAAAAAGTATGGATCCCTGCAGTCACGAAAACTTAAAATCTAGACTTTAAACGCATGTTGATTCTAAATGTGGAGGGGAAAACCGGAGGACCCACGTAAAAATCCACGTGACCACGGGGAGAACGTGCAAACTCCAAATATACAGGCGTCAGGGTCTGGATCGAAACCCATGACCTGTACACCAGGCGAAGTAGTTAATATCTCGCCACTATGACAAGATGGTAAGAATCGTGCCTAAGAATGAGAAGGCTCACCACAGCCTTCACTCGGAGGTTCAGAGAGCCGTGCGGCAATGCGACAATGGATGAGTGGTGGTCATGGGTTTCTGAGGAGATGAAAAACTGCCTCAGCAACTCGTGACCGCAATTCACTCTTTAAGACGGTAACTTGCAGCGCCACACCTATTACCATCCTTGAGGTTAAGATCCGATCTACGTAAATGAACAGATTTGCTGAATGTTTCTGTGTGGAATTTTTGAGAGAGGAAATCCCTCATTTCAGATAATATCGTGAGGGTAAGGTGGGGCTGACCCTGCTCGGGCTGCTGTGCCTGGAATATTCCCTCAGTATGCCATGATCACAAATCGCTCTTTAATTCCGTTAAAAAGTTACTTGCAGCGCCTCACCTATCACCATCCTTAAGGCAAAGAACGGTGATCCGACCTCCAACCCCCAGGAACAGGTCTGGAGGTTTGCAGAGCATTTCTGTGAGGTCTTGGGGAAAGGGAATTCCCTCAGCCCAGATAACATAATTGGGCAAAGTGGGGAGCCCCCTACTGGAGCTGTGATTCCTCAAACATTGGCTGGCCGATGTGCTTTCTACCGAGGAAGTGCGAAGAATAGCCTGAGACCAGATAGAGTGCTGGGCAGAGATTACCTCCCAAGCGAACAGCTGAAGGATGGTGGTGATTGTGGGCAAGATACCGTATATGACATAATCAGCACCTCAGATTAGCACGGTTGGCTACGTGCGGTGCGAAAGAATTTCAACATACATGCATAATTACAACTGTCTGGTCCACAGGACGGGTTCTGCAGGATTGGAATGATACCCTGGTGGTCCCTTTCTTAAAACGGGGGTGGGGGTGGGGGGTCCCACTGATTGCAATAACTACTGGGGAATCTCTCTCCTCAGTCGTGGAAATGTCCTGGCAATCAATCAATGTGTATTTGTTATCGGGAAGGAATATTCAACATTGCATTGCCAGCCACGCAGAGAAGCTTGCTTAGCCCTAATGTGGTTTCAGTCTGGGGTGGTCCTACATGGACGCTATTTTCTCTGTCCGTCTTCTACAGCAGAGGCGTAGAGATTTTCAACAGAACCTACATCTATGCTTTATTGATCTGGTCAAGGCCTCGTATACCATCAAGAGACTAGGGATTAGGGTTATTCTCCTTGCTTTCAGGTTTCTTTACCTTCTATTCATGACCCTTGCGATAGTGAGCTGGTTGATCGATGCCCAGGTACCATGTTAAATTTGTTGATGATAGGGTAATTGCGACTCACTCTGAAAAGTTGAACGTGGAGCATGTCAACACCTTCAGCCTCACCAAAACAAAACACATGCTTGGGCGTTTGATATCATGGAACATTCCAACGTGTTAAACTCTCCATGAGTAATGGAGTGGTTGTTGAGATGGTGGAGGAATTCCCATTCCTGAGCAGTGTGCTCATCGCCAGCCACAACTTGGCAGTGGTCTCACGTAATTCAATCTCGCTGCGTTATCTTTTCATCGGCTCCATAACACCTTGTGGGATCTGCCTGGGCTATCGCTCCATACCATGTTGCGGGTCTTCCTGGCCACAGTAATGTCCTTCTATACTCGCAAAACGTAGAGCCCTTTAAAACATCTGCAACAGTTTGAAATATTCAGGCTGACCTGCCTGCGATCCATCCTGGGGTTTTACCAGACTGGATTTTGTAAGGAGCTCATATAATCTTGAAAGATCTCGACATAGTCCCACCATCAGTGAGCTCCTCCTGACAGGCAAGGCCGAGTAGCTAAGACGCAAGTTGACACAGTGGGAAGCACAGGAGGTGCATTTGTCAATCAACTCAGGCAGTCAACCCATACACTCTGGTACCACCACTTCATGGCGAACGCCAGTTGTTGTGTATGTGCGCATTTTGCGATACATGTATGCGTGTAAGTGTCGTTATGTGTGTCAGGGTGTCAACGTGCCGTGTGTGTGCTTACGTGTGTGTGAGGCTTGCATACCTATGTGTATGTATGTATGCATGCGTGTGGGTTCATTAGTACGCATGTGTATGTGTGTGAATGTGTATGGGGAGAGGTTAGCGCGCTCTGCTACGAACTCGGCGACCCGAGTTCAACTCCCGGTCAATACCGGTCGTGGGCCTCCGCTGGATCGACTCAGCCTCAACTGAGCACAGAACCTGCGGTGTGCAACCATCGCCGTACAGGTGCTACTCGCTAACAGCACTTGCCTCAAAAGTCTGTTAAGGCTATACGGGGAATATTTGTCTCGTCTTTGTGTGAATACGTGTGCATGTTTCTGCGCATGTGCGACGACGTTGGACCAGGTTGTAGGTGGGGAACTGTAGGGGAGGCGACAGGGGGGATATGCGACAGGGGAGGAGGGCATAGGGGGTGGCTTTCGGAACGAGGCTGTAGGAGAAGCTTTAGGGAAGGCTGTAGTGGAAGGGGGTGTCGGCAAGGCTGTAGGGGAGGCTGTAGGGGAGGCTGTACGGTTGGCCAAAAGGGGGGGGCTGTAGGGAGGAGGCTGTAGGGGTGGCTATAGGGGAGGGTGGAAGAGGAGGAGTCTTGGGTCGCTATAAGAGGAGGCTCGTCCTGGGTCCATGCAGGTGATCCAGGACCCCGAACTCCAGCACAGGTGCGATTCCTCAAACTCACTGGCAACATGACGACCATCATCATCACACTCGCCATCTACATCCTCAACACAGCAGCAACATCACCATCATCATCATCGCAATCTGTATCGCTGTCTAAAATATCAAAATCGGAACCACCACCACTCCCATCAACATCATCATCACCTCCGCTATCAACATCACCATCATCACCATCGATCTCACCATCGAAACCCTCAGCACATCGGTATCACCATCAACATCATAATCATCGTCGACATCAGCATCCTCACGGTCCACATCACCAACTTGAATCACACCACCACCATCCACATCATCTTCAACTCAAGGCTTATGACATGTTTCTATAATTTCGCCTGGTAGTTTTATTCCGGCATTTTGTGATTATTTTACCGTTTAATTTTTTTCCCACTTCTCACTCTTACGTGTTTAAATTATTAGTATTATATTAGCGTCTTCACAACGTGTGTAGAATGTTTGTGGTGTACCCGAACTCTTGTGGAGTTGGCCTCACGCCTTGCGGAACGAAAATGCGCTCTCTCTGAAGAGAGTGGGAGGGGTGCCATCAGCAGCGGCCTCTGTGGGGGAGGCTAAAACAAGAACCGCGTTGTGAGAACGCCGTCGCGTCGGTGACCTCGCGACAGAGAAGATATCCCATCAGGGCTCCTGCAGCCACTAGCGGCCGCTACAAAGCCGCTGTTGTGAGCGGTGGCGGTCACAACGCGTTGTGAACATCAATTTGTGTTGAACACAATCCACTGCTGGATGAAAGCCTCTCCACGCCGCGGCCGTTGTTTGACCATACTTCACCGCGCTGGTTAGTGCGGGATGGTGAACCAGGAGTGCTGTGGTGAGGGTAGGAGCCGGAGCCGATTGAGATACCACTGCTCGCCACTGATGGTGGCCGTGCCCTGGAAGCCAGGGTTCACGAGCGCAGTGCACAAACCATTGCGCCACCGTTCCACACCCCCACACCCTGACGATGAGAATGCGTCTTGAGCTCGCCTCCTCCTCCACCGCAAACTCACCACCACCACCTCCGCATCCTCACCACTACCATAGTAAACTCCGCCTTTTCACCACCACCACCTCCCTACCAACACTGTCACCTGCATCCACCATGACCACCCGATCCTCCCCTACTCACCACCACCCCACACTCTTACCCACCGCTCATCCTCAATCCACCACCACCTCTTCACTCAACTACTGCCACCACGCGGCTCTTCACCTCCTCAATCCACCACCTCCTCAATCCACCACCTCCTTAATCCACCACCTCCTCAATCCTCCTCCTCACCTCCTCAAACTCCTCCCCGCCTACGCAGAATGGCACACATGTTGAAGATGGAGGGCGGCGCCATCCCGGCCAGCTCCTTCACCGTGTCCTCCTCCTCCTCGTTCAGCACCTCCTCCTCCTTCTCCTCTTCCTCCTCCTCCGGCTTCTCCTCCTCCGCCTCGGGCTCGTCCAGTTCCGGGGCCGCGAGCTCCAGGTGAGCAGCGATCGGATTCGTCTCTCCCGTGTGTCTCTATCTCCGTGTGTCTCTGTGTGTCTCTGTGTCTCTGTGTGTCTCCGTGTCTCCCGTGTCTCTGTGTGTCTCTGTGTCTCTGTGTCTCTGTGTGTCTCCGTGTCTCTGTGTGTCTCTGTGTGTCTCTGTGTGTCTCCGTGTCTCTGTGTGTCTCTGTGTCTCCGTGTGTCTCCGTGTCTCTGTGTGTCTGTGTCTCTGGGTCTCTGTGTGTCTGTCTCTTCTGAGTCTCCGTGTGTCTCCGTGTGTCTCTGTGTCTTCTGAGTCTTCGTGTGTCTCTGCGTGTCTCTGCGTGTCTCCGTGTCTCTGTGGCTCCGTGTGTCTCCGTGTATCTCTGTGTCTCTGGATCTCTGTGTGTCTGTCTCTTCTGAGTCTCCGTGGGTCTCTGTCTCCGTGTGTCTCTGTGTCTCCGTGTGTCTCCGTGTGTCTCTGCGTGTCTCCGTGTATCTCTGTGTATCTCTGTGTCTCCGTGTGTCTCTGTGTGTCTCCGTGTGTCTCTGTCTCTCGTGTGTCTCTGTGTCTCCGCGTGTCTCTGTGTCTGTCTCTGTGTGTCTCTGTGTCTCCGTGTGTCTCTGTGTCTCCGTATATCTCTATTTCTCCCGAGTCTCCTTGTGTGTCTGTTTTCTTGTAGTTGTTTCCCCTCATTAATTAGCTGATAACACCTTGATATATAGAGGACTGCAGAGCTTTGGGTTAGATCGCGTGAATATAAATGTGTCGTTAAACCCGCCACAACCGGACAGCCGATTAGGAAGGGTTGACACGTAACAAAACGTGCAAATTGGTTACGAGTTAATCACTAAACCGGTTGTGTGTTGGAGAGTGAACCCACCACAACGTTTACAATTCGAGTATCGTCACGTTTCGCCGGTATTTACAACCAGCACCATCAGGCGATCCGCCGTAGTTTTGAAGAAGTCTTCCTGTTTACGTCTTAAAGTTAAAGTTATGTTAAAGTTAAAGTTATGTTTCGGTCCGTAATTCTTTCGTCAGAATATTCTTCACACCCTCGAAAATATGAACAAACAAAGCAATCGACCTCACGACAACGATTACGTAAAAAGCGGTGTCCCTGTGGCTCCCCCGAGTATGGGAGGACCGTGAGAAGAGCGGCTGTCTCTACCGTTACCGTGGCAACAGGCCGGGTTGTCCCGGGTAACCACCTCACTCGGAGCCTCCCCGAGCAGCAGCAGCGGTGCGAGTCGGCCCGCAGGCAACTTGGCCTCCTCCTCCCTCTCCTCCCCCACACAGCTCTGCCCCTCGAGATGAGGGCGCAGTGTACAGGCGAACCTCGCTTAGAGGACATTTTGTTAGGAGTAAAAAAAAGGAAAAATTTCAGAAAATGAAAAACTAAATCGAAAAAGTGCCTCCGAGTGAGAACACACGGCAGTGCTCGCCCGGGGAGACGTCCCAGCGCCCATTGTTCTGATGAGAGCGACGCACACTTTGAGCCAACCAGACCCCCCCACACCCCGTCACACTCTGAGCCAACCAGACCCCCCCACACCCCGTCACACTCTGAGCCAACCAGACCCCCCCCACACACCCCGTCACACTCTGAGCCAACCAGACACCCCCCCCACACACCCCGTCACACTCTGAGCCAACCAGACCCCCCCCCACACCCCGTCACACTCTGAGCTAACCAGACCCCCCCCACACCCCGTCACACTCTGAGCCAACCAGACCCCCCCCCACACCCCGTCACACTCTGAGCCAACCAGCCCCCCCCCCACCCCCCGTCACACTCTGAGCTAACCAGACCCCCCCCCCACACCCCGTCACACTCTGAGCCAACCAGACCCCCCCCCACACCCCGTCACACTCTGAGCTAACCAGACCCCCCCCCCCCACACACCCCGTCACACTCTGAGCTAACCAGACCCCCCCCCCACACACCCCGTCACACTCTGAGCTAACCAGACCCCCCCCCCACACACCCCGTCACACTCTGAGCCAACAAGAACCCCCCCCCCACACCCCGTCACACTCTGAGCTAACCAGACCCCCCCCACACCCCGTCACACTCTGAGCTAACCAGACCCCCCCCCACACACATCGTCACACTCTGAGCCAACCAGACCCCCCCACACACCCCGTCACGCACACGCACGGCCTTGTGGGAGCGCGTGAACTCAGCCCGAGTTGATATTCCAGCTCCCCCACGTGCAGCGAGTTGATGGCCTCAGCTGGCAGGTCACCGGTGACTGCCAGGTCTACCCATGTCCCCACGCGTCTCCTACCCACGTCCCCACGTGTCTCCTACCCACGTCCCCACGCGTCCCGCTGTGTCTCCGTGTTTGACCTGGCATCTCGACCATTGTCCTTGTGTCTCCCACGTGTCCCCAACCCCCCCGTCCCCGTGGCCCAGCTCGTCCGCCATGGGGCTCGGCTCCATGAGTCTGGAGCAGACGATGAAGATGCAGAGCGCAGCGCAGCAACTCCTGGGCAAGATGAAGGCGAGCGACAAGTGAGTGGCTCCTCACCACCACCACTCCTCACCACTCCTACTCACCACCATTCCTCACCACCACCACTCCTCACCACTCCTACTCACTGGTATCCACCACTGACACTCCTCACCACTGCTACTCACCACCACTCCTCACCACTGGTATCCACCACTGACACTCCTCACCACTGCTACTCACCACCACTCCTCACCACTATTACTCACTGGTATCCACCACTGACACTCCTCACCACTGCTACTCACCACCACTCCTCACCACTCCTCACCACTGGTATCCACCACTGACACTCCTCAGCACTGCTACTCACCACCACTCCTCACCACTCCTCACCACTGGTATCCACCACTGACACTCCTCACCACTGCTACTCACCACCACTCCTCACCACTACTACTCACTGGTATCCACCACTGATACTCCTCACCACTGCTACTCACCACCACTCCTCACCACCACCACTCCTCACCACTACCACTCCTCACCACTCCTACTCACTGGTATCCACCACTGATACTCCTCACCACCGCTACTCACCACTGCTACTCACTGGTATCCACCACTGATACTCCTCACTCACCGAAACCACTGCCGGTGGGAGCCGCCTACACCACCGCCTCCACCACCGCCGCCACCACCATCACCGCCACCACCATCGCCACCACCATCACCACCACCGCCACCACCACCACCACTGCCGCCTGCACCTTTGAGGCTGCCAGAATCGGGGCAGCTGTAGCCGTATGAATGGCCGGGTGTGTGTTAGGGTGTGTGTCAGGGTGTGTGTCAGGGTGTGTGTCAGGGCGTGTGTCACGGTGTGCGTCAGGGTGTGTGTCTCTGTGTGTGTCTCTGTGTGTGTCAGGGTGTGTGTCACTGTGTGTGTCAGGGCGTGTGTCACTGTGTGTCAGGGCGTGTGTCAGGGCGTGTGTCAGGGTGTGTGTCAGGGTGTGTGTCAGGGTGTGTGTCACTGTGTGTGTCAGGGCGTGTGTCAGGGTGTGTGTCACTGTGTGTGTCAGGGCGTGTGTCAGGGCGTGTGTCAGGGTGTGTGTCACTGTGTGTGTCAGGGCGTGTGTCAGGGCGTGTGTCAGGGCGTGTGTCAGGGCGTGTGTCGGGGTGTGTGTCAGGGTGTGTGTAACTGTGTGTGTCAGGGCGTGTGTCAGGGTGTGTGTCACTGTGTGCGTCAGGGTGTGTGTCACTGTGTGTGTCACTGTGTGTGTCAGGGTGTGTGTCACTGTGTGTGTCAGGGCGTGTGTCAGGGTGTGTGTCAGGGTGTGTGTCAGGGCGTGTGTCAGGGTGTGTGTCAGGGTGTAGCTGTTGTTGCGTAAGGCGGCCGGGCGTGGTCTCCGACACCCACCCCCTCGTGTGCCGTGCCGGCCTTCATAGGTATTGCTTGCTAACAGCACTTGCCCCAACATCCTATCAAGGCTACACGGGGGATCTTTGTATTTGTTGTTGATGTTGTTGATGTTGTTGTTGTTGTGCAGCCACAGGGGATCTTTGTTGATGATGTTGATGTTGTTGTTGTGCAGCTATGCCAGCCTGGAGTTCGTGGGGTGGTGCCAGGAGCTGTCCACCTCCCTCAAGCAGTGCGGCACGCTGGGTGGACGAGTCCAGCTGGCCGACTCACTCACCGCACAGGGCTGGGCGGGTGAGCAGCGCACCACTCACCACTCACCGCCCACTCACCACTCACCATTCACTCACCACTCACCGCACACTCACCACTCACTCACCACTCATTCACCACTCACCGCACACTCACCACTCATCACTCACTCACCGCACACTCACCACTCACTCACCGCGCACTCCCAACTCACTCACCGCGCACTCACCACTCACCACCCACTCACCACTCCCCGCACACTCACCACTCACTCGCCAACCACCCGCACCGTACCACGCTCACCACACGCTCACCACTCACTCGCCAACCACCCACACCATACCACGCTCACCACACGCTCACCACTCACTCGCCAACCACCCACACCATACCACGCTCACCACACGCTCACCACTCACTCGCCAACCACCCACACCATACCACGCTCACCACACGCTCACCACTCACTCGCCAACCACCCGCACCATACCACGCTCACCACACGCTCACCACTCACTCGCCAACCACCCACACCATACCACGCTCACCACACGCTCACCACTCACTCGCCAACCACCCACACCATACCATGCTCACCACACGCTCACCACTCACTCGCCAACCACTCACACCATACCACGCTCACCACATGCTCACCACTCACTCGCCAACCACCCACACCATACCATGCTCACCACACGCTCACCACTCACTCGCCAACCACCCACACCATACCACGCTCACCACACGCTCACCACTCACTCGCCAACCACCCACACCATACCACGCTCACCACACGCTCACCACTCACTCGCCAACCACCCACACCATACCACGCTCACCGCACGCTCACCACTCACTCGCCAACCAACCACACCATACCACGCTCACCACACCGTGATTCGGACAGGCACGAGGGAGAGATCCTCACGGGGCTGGTGATGATGACAATGTTGGCGATGTGGATGTTGACGATGTTGGCGATGTGCAGGGGTTCTGGTGAAGGTCCTCTCGGGCCTGGACGCCGAGGGGCTGGAGTTCGTGGGGGGCTCCGCGCTGCGCCTCGTGCTGCACGCCTCGCAGCTGAGCGCCGACTTCCGCACGGCGCTGGGCCGCGCCGGCGGCGTGCAGATCCTGCTGGGCAACCTCGCCGCAGTGAAGGACTCCGCCGATGACGAGGTGCTGCCCACTCCTCGTCACCCCTCCTCGTCCCCCCTCCCCCCCCTCCTCGTCACCCCTCCCCCCCCTCCTTGCGCCCCCTCCTCGCCGCCGTATAGCCTTAACAGACTGTTTGGGGCAAGTGCTGTTAGCGAGCAGCACATCTGAAGGCTGGCACGGCACACAAGAGGGTGGGTGGCCAGCACCACACCTGACCACCTTTGTCTCCCTCGTGGCGATGTTTACACACTTAATTAGCTACTAATTTTAGGCTGAGTCGACCTCGGGGAGGCCTAGAACCGGTTTAGATAATTGTCACTAGGGTTGAGTGTAAGGGGGAATCGAACTCGGGGTGCCGGGTTCGTAGCGCAGCGCACTAACCGCGACACTGCCGCTCCTGACACACACACACTCTCAACGCGCACACACTCTCTCAACGTGCACACACTCCCATCGGTGATGCTAGGATTACAGCTGTCCTCCGCCAAACCATCCTCTGCCAAACCAAAAAGTTTGCCGGTTTGCGTCGCCAGTGCGAGTATGCATCTGTACGTTGTGTTGAAACAGCTTTAGCACGGAATTGTTCGTCCGTGTGTTGACCCACGATCACCAGTTGGACTAATGAACGGGCCGTAGATGACGGCGAGTTGCAAATAATTTTTGCATTTTCAAAACAGGATTATTAATTATTGCATAGCCACCTTTATTTTATTATAATAATACATCGCAAAATGCGTCTGCCGGATGCTTGCAGCCTCTTGATGCCAAAAATGCAGAGATGTATCCACTTAGGCAGCTTGAACTAAACTGAACTGGTAGGCTTAAGGCCCCTGTATTTATACTATTATACTGGTAGGAACGAAGTGGACCAGACACCAATAGATTATATCTTCCGTCCGTTTGTCCGTCCGTCCGTCCGTGTAGCAACATCGCCCCCTACTGCAAACACTTGGCATGACCCTACAAAAACCTTTAGACTCAGTGACGCTATCCTGGTAGCAACATCGCCCCCTACTGCAAACACTTGGCATGACCCTACAAAAACCTTTAGACTCAGTGACGCTATCCTGGCTAAACAAGTGTAACATTCCCTTATAATTCCCTCAGATAGCTTTTAATTAAAACATTTAAATTAATTAGGCTTTCCTGGCTAAACACGTGTAACATTCCCTTATAATTCCCTGAGATAGCTTTTAATTAAAACTTTGAAATTAAATTAAAAAAACTCACAGTGCCCTAATAATTCCCTGAGATAGCTTTTAATTAAAACTTTTAAATTAAATAAAAAAAACTCACAGCGCCCTAAAGCCTACAGCTAGGCCTAAAGCCTAGAACTAGGCCTGAAACTCTCCCTTCGTATCGTACCCCCGCGTGTGTGAAAGGGAGTTAATGTTTAACAATGTTACATTCCCTCATGTTTTTAAACAGAAACATTTAAATTTAAAGCTTTTACATAAATCATTAAAACATTTAAATTAAAATTAACTCACAGCGCCCTAATGCCTACAGCTAGGCCTAAAGCCTAGAACTAGGCCTCAATCTCTCCCTTCGTATCGTCCGATTAGGTGTAGCAACATCGCCCCCTACTGCAAACACTTGGCAGGACCCTACAAAAACCTTTAGACTCAGTGGGCCTTTCCTGGCTAAACATGTGTAATAATACATTATGTTTATATTCTTTGGTTATTCGTTCCTACCAGCCCACCCCGCAGGGTCCTGTTTTATATTACTGCAAAGTTCTAGAATGTTCTAGAAGTTACTCCAAGTTTACTCAGCACTGAATCTATTTGGAATGTTCTGGAAAATAGGTAAATTTCAACATCAATGTCCTGGTCACAAAAGCAAAGTTTATGGGGAGTAATATCCATTTTGTGTACTTTTGAGGCATAAGCAATTAGGAAATAGCACTTACTACCCAGGAACAAAAAAAAATTGTGACACTGTTATCGGAAGTGTGTATCATCACGTTTGCAGGGCATGGGCACATGACGTAACGCTCAGCAAAGCAGCCACCCAGCCTGCACGATTGTGCTAAAGTATAAATTATGTTAAGGAGTCCCGTTACACACGCTGATTGGTTGGAGTGCGTGACGTCACCATGACCAACCAACCAGAGGGCAGTGTTACAGGAAAAAATATTATTATGTAAACATGTAGAGGATCGCAGAGCTTGGGCGATCAGTTGGTCGCGCCGGGTGGCTACTGCTGCTGCTGCTGCCTTCCCACTCGTCTGTGGTTGCTCGTCAGCGCCTCGTAAGTCGTGATGCAAGCAAGATGTGCGTGGTGCGTGCTGTGGCATGGTGCGTGTGGTGTGGTTTGGTGCCTGTGGGCGTGGTGCGTGTGGCGTGGTGTGTGTGGCGTGGGGTGTGTGGCGTGCTGTGACATGGTGCGTGTGGTGTGTGTGTGGCGTGGGGTGTGTGGCGTGCTGTGACATGGTGCGTGTCGCGTGTGTGTGGCGTGGTGTGTGTGGCGTGCATGACAGTGGTGCAGTGTGGCGTGGTGCGTGTGGCGTGGTGCGTGTGGCGTGGTGCGTGTGGTGTGGTGTGTGTGGCGTGGTGTGGTGTGTGTGGCATGTGGTGTGTGGCGTGGCGTGGTGCATGTGGTGTGGTGTGAACGCCGTCTTCCGGTGACAGACGGCATTCGCTCAGCTGCTGATCTCGCGGCTGGCGATCAGCTCGCTGTGGCACGTGGCCACCGAGCGGCAGAACCGCGCGTTGCTGCGCACTGAGGCGGCGCGCGCGTCGCTGGGCGCGCTGCTCGCCCTCAAGAACGCGCAGGTGCGCGTCGGGGCCACGCTCACTGCCTGCCTGGCGCTCGGCGAGAGCACGGCCGAGGAGCACGCCGTCAAGTCGGGTGAGACGCCACTCGGGGAGGGGTAGAAGGGATGGGGGGGGGCAGAGGGAGGGGTGAGAGGGGGAGGAGTGAAGTGATTTGGATGGAGTGTGGGAGAGGAATAGAGGTGGAATAGGAGGTGTCGCGAGCGGTGAGCAGTGATTGGTATTGCGAGCGATGTCTTGAGTGATGAGCGGTGTGGCGACTGGTGAGCGGTGTGGTGAGTGGTGAGCGGTGTGGTGAGCGGTGAGCGATGTGGTGAGCGGTGAGTGATAAGCGATGAGGCGAGCGGTGAGCGATGTGGTGAGTGGTGAGCGGTGAGCGATGTGGTGAGCGGTGAGCGGTGTGTTGAGTGGTGAGTGGTGAGCGATGTGGTGAGCGGTGTGGCGAGTGATGAGCGATGTGGTGAATGGTGAGCGGTGTGTGTGCGGTGCAGGGCACCTGTCCTCCACGGTGAGCTGGCTGCGTGCGGCGCTCAACACTGTCCTGCTGGAGCACGAGGGGCACAGCCTCCTGGAGATCCTCACCACCCTCGCTCACCTCGCCCGCCTTAGCGCCTGCGCCACGCCGGTACGCTCAAGCCTACACAAGGACAAAGATCCCCCGTCTAGCCATTTGGTGGCAAGTGCCGTTGGCGAGTGGCAGCACCTACGAAGGCCGGCACGGGTTGGCAGCCAGCACCACGATCAGCCACCGTTGTCTCCCTAGTGGCGATGTTTACACACCGCATCAGGTACGCGGGACCAGTTGAGTTAATCGTCACTGGTGTTGGTGGCCGTGGTCGGGAATTGAACTCGGCTGGCTGGGTTTGTAGAGCAGCGCGCGAACCGCTACACTACCATAGACACAACCGCTACACTACCATAGACACACGCGTGTGCGTGTGTGCGTGCATGTACGTGTGTGTGTGTGTGTGCGCGTGTGTGCGTGCGTGTGTGCGTGCGTGTACGTGCGTGCATGTGTAGGGAGAGTAGAGGAGGTTACCCTACTTAACCTGAGACGATGTGCCTGCTTCTGTGGTATGGTGCGGTGTGGTGCGGTGTGGTGCATGCGGTGTATGTGGTGCGGTGTGTGGTCGGTGTGGTGCATGTGGTGTGATGCGTGTGGTGTAATGTGTGTGATGCGTGTGGTGTGATGTGTGCGTTGCGTAGCTGTTGGAGGCGGGCGCGGTGCCGCTGGCGGTGCAGGTTCTGCGCCGTGGGCGTGAGGAGGAGCGGCGCGCAGCCACCACCATCGTGTGGCAGCTCGCCTTCCACCCCGGCCTACGCAACGCCATGCGCCATGGTGCGCCTCCACCACACCACACCGCACCGCATCACGGGAACCACACCTCACCACACCACACACCATAACACACACCACACCGCACCGTGGGAACCACACCACACCACACCGCACACCATAACACACCGCATCACGGGAATCCCACCACACCACACACCATACTACACCGCACCACACCACAAACCATACCAAAAGCGCACCATACCACAAACCAGACTGCGCCACACACCACACCCCACCGCACCACAGGAAATGGACCGCACCGTGGGAACCACACTACACTGCGGGAACCGCATCCATTGATGTTGTTGTGATGATGTGATGATGTTGTTGTGATGATGTGACGATGACATTATGTTGTGATGATGATGCAATGATTACGTGATGATGATGTTGTGATGTTGCGGTGATGATATGATGATGATGCTGTGACGATGGTGGTGGTGGTGTAGATGAGGAGCTGGCGAGGGAGTTGTCCGTGCTGCTGAGGGGAGGTTCGCCCTGGCTGGCGGGGGCCGCGCGCGGCATTGGTCTCCTCCTCCTCACTGAGAAGTCTCCACGATACGTGCTGTCTCGCGAGGGCACCCAGCCTGGTACGACTCGCACTCACTCTGACACTCACTCTCATTCACTCACTCACACACACTTACACTCACTCGTCATTCTCTCATCAAAATCTCACTGTGCCCCCCCCCCCCCCCACAGGTGGAGCTGGCCCTGGTGCATTATGGGTAGCGGAGTCAGGTCAGGAGGTGCGGCTTGGCAAAGCGTGGACCGAGTGGGAGACGTTCCCACACAGTGAGAAGCCGCACCGCGCTGCAGCAGCACAGCCATACCAAACACACACCACCACGATACACCACCACGATGCAAAGATAACCTGTATAGCCTTACAGACTGTAGGGGCAAGTGCTGTTTGCGAGCGCCTATGAAGGCCGACACGGCACACGAAGGGGTGGGTGGCCAACACCACGCCCGGCCGCCTTTGTCTCCCCAGTGGCGATATTTTACACACTGCATCAGGTACTTATTTGAGGCTGAGTCGACCTAGGGGAGGCCCAGGACCGATACAAATAATCCTCATTATTGTTGGCCTTGAACGGGAATCGAACTCAGGTCGCCGGGTTTGTAGCGCAGCGTACTAATTTCTGCACTACCGCTCCCCACCCACGATACACCACACACCTCACCATATACCTCACCATACACCCCACCATATACCTCACCACACACCCCACCATATACCTCACCACACACCTCACCAGACATAGAATGACCCTGGACCTGCTCTCTCGGTGTCCGTGCAGTGTTCCCCGTGTACGCGGCTCGCGAGGGAGGGGTGGTGATCAGCCACGACGGCGTTCACGTTGCCACGGCGACCGCCCTGCGCGACAAGCTGCAGGTGAGGCGCGCTCACCTCACTCGCTCGCACGCAAGGGCGGGTGGCCACGCGGCGAGGGGCATGGGCCGCCTCGCCGCCTCCTGCCTCTCCCGCCTCACCCGCGTCTTCCTTGTCTCCCGTGCGTTCGCCGCGTGCCCCTGTGGGCCCAGGCGCGCGGCGTGCGAGTGTGGATGAACACGGAGCCCCTGAGTCCACACTCCCTGGACCAGACGCTCGCAGCCATTGAGGCGGCCGGCGTCGTCTTCGTGACGGCCACCAACGCCTACCAGGACAACCCACGGTGCCGTACTGGTGAGCTTTCCATGCGCTCATCCCACCGGCGACGACACCACCGGGCGACATCGCCGCTGAGTGGTTGCGATGTCGCCACCGTGCTCGACGTGCCGAGCCGATTGCCCTTTGACGCTACCACGTAAGGTGTGCAGACCTCGCTGCTGGCAGGTCACGGGAAACACTCAGGGGCCATGGGTTGACTGAGATGCACCACCTGTACCCCTCTACTGTGCCCTCTACTAGAAAGTGATTTAGCAACCCGGCGCTCTACTCATTGTTGTGAGCGTCGCTCTTCTACCTTCCACTGTTGTAGAAGGGCAACTGCCTCTAACTGCCCAATAGTCTCCTCCAGAGAAGCTGATCTTAACACCGCTAGTATCAGTCATCGGCAAGTCCACTCAGCTCCAAATCCTCTTGGAATGCATCAGTCCATCTCTTCTCCAGCCCATGCCACACACATTTAGCCCCCTCTATTTGACCAAACAGAAGCTGCTTGGGAAAGCGGTGACTGGGTATGTAGGCTACATGATCCAGCAAACAAAGCTTCACCTGCTGGAGGAGCTGATGGGACTGTATCCAGATCTTTCAATATTCCGTGAGCTCCTCACACAATTCAGCCTGGTTGAACCTAGGATGGATCGTAGGCAGGCCAGCCTGGATGTATGGAACCAGCACAGATGTTCCTTTAAAGGGCTCCACGTGTCGTAACCATACAGAAGGGAGGGCATAACTGTGCCTAAGAAGACCCGAAGCTTTGTACAGAGTGATGACCAGGTAGCTTCCAATAATGTGGGAGCCCCAAGGACATCTCTGTCTCACCCCAAGGTGAACAGGGAATGGCTCTGACTCCCGGCCATGCCTCATCATCTGCCCTCTCCCTTTGTGTTGACACTGCTGCCCCCCTTTCTCTTGTCGCTCCCCCCCCCTTCCTCAGAGTACTCGTTCGCGCGGATGTTCGGCAAGGCGGTGGTGCCGCTGCAGGTGGAGCTGGGCAGCTCCGTGGACGGCTGGCTCTCTGCGCTGCGCGACTGGAAGCTGCTCGACGGAGCGCCCACGCCCAGCCTGGTCGACGGTGAGATCGTGGTCAGGCATTGCGGCTCAAAGGTCATGGTCAAGGGATTGCAGCGTCTGGGTCGAGCGATCATAGAGGACGCTGGTGTCGCCCGGCACTCTTGTGTGCGAGCGTGCGACACACACCTCACCCCCCCCCCCGTGTCCCCCCCCTTCCCCCCCTCCACCGTGTCCCGTCCCCCCTGTGCCCCCCCTCCCCCACCGTGTCCACCCCCGTCCAGGAGAGGGGCACCTCATGGCCGCCCCGACCACTGGCACCGGCTTTGTCATCAACTCCCCGGCCAACATCCAAGCCTCCCTCGCAGCCATCGAGCACGCCGTGGACAGATACCGCACCGTCTACGTGCAGAGTGAGGGCGCTCACCACAGCACACACTCACCGCAGTCTCCTCCTCCACATAGTCACACACAGTCATACAAACAAAGATCCCCCGTGTAGCCTTAACAGACTTTTGGGGCAAGTGCTGTTAGCGAGTAGCACCTACTCGCTAACAGGGGGTGGGTGCCCAACACCACATACTCTTAGTTTTTTTTTTTCCGGTAAAGTCACGTAGGTAAAAATAAATAAAAAATGAAAATATATTATAAAACTCAATTATAGAAATAATAGAAATAAAATAAAAAATCACGACGTTTCGGAGGCAACACAAGTCTCCGTCATCAGGTGGGACCATCACAGCTAAATTTACTGTATCAAGTGAGGCAAAATTCCAAGAGACAAGCTCTTAAATACAAGTTAAGGGGGGAGGAGGGGGGGGGGGCTTATCTGAATGTGGTGCCCAACACCACACCCGGCCACCTTTGTCTCCTCAATGGTGATATTTACACACCGCACAAAGTATTAATTTGAGGCTGAGTCGACCTAGGAGAGCCCAAGGACTAGTTCAGATATTCGTCACTGGTGTTGGCAGTGAGCGACGTAGCACAGCGCGCTAACCGCTACTGCTCCCAAACACTCACCACACTCACCACAGCACACACGCTCACCACACCCCCATGTTCTCCTCTGCCACATTCTCCTCTCCCTGCAGACTCCCGCGCCGCCTCCGACTGGGCCCCCTTCAACCCCGTGGGGGTCCCGTATGGTGCCCTGGCTCAGGGTCCCTGGGGCCCCGCGCCCAGCCTAGCTGAGCTGGGGGTCAGCGGTCCCTATAACATGGGCCCCTACTCTGGGGAACCCCACGCCGGGGGGCCCTACGCCGGGGGGCCCTACGCCGGGGGGCCCGTGGCCTACGCCGGGGAACGCATGTGGAGCCGCAAGTGTGACTGCCGCTGGGTTCCCCTGGAGGGAGGAGCCTCCTCCTGGTGGGGGAAGCAGCCCGAGGGGTGTCAGTGCCACTGAGCCTCCGTGGTCAGCTCACCCACTCACCTGCTCCTCCATGAACCACCAGTTCACCCGCTGCTCCGTCAACCAAACGCTCACTTGGTCGTCCGTCAACCACATGCTGATCTGCTCCTCCATCAACCACCCACTCACCCGCTCCTCCATCAACTACCCGCTCACCCGTTCGACAGTACTGTCAACCACTCGACCGCTCCAACAACCACAACCCAACCGCAAACGCCATGTGTCCCTCACCACGACCACCAGCTCAGACGCCATTACCCAACCACAACAACCGCAATATACACTACCACACGCCCCACTCCACACTGCTAACGTCACCACTACAACAATCACAAACCACCGCATCCTGACCACACGCGCTCAACCACCAACTCTACCCTGTGTGTGGTGCGGTTTTTTGTTTCAGGTTGAATGCTTAAAGCTGAAAGAGCTGCTCACACGGACTCCAGCAACTCACACACCCGCTGCTGCTGCCGCACACCCAGAGAACCCTGACACACCTGGAGACTGTGTCGCACGCCCAGTGAACACCTATTGCTCCACATCCACCGCCATCCCACACCACCACGAAAACCACCACCACCCACCACCACCAGTGAACATCAAACAAAAGATCCCCCGTATAGCCTTAACAGACTGTTGGGGCAATTGCTGTTTGCGAGCCCCTATGAAGGCCGGAACAGCACACGAGCGGGTTGGTGGTCAGTACCACACCCCAGTGGCGATGTTTACACACTGCACCAGGTACTCAATTGGGGCTGATTTGACCTAGGGGAGGCCCAGGACCGGTTCAAACAATCTTCACTGGTGTTGGCCGTAAGGGTAAATCGAACCGGTGTAGTCGGGTTTGTAGCATAGCGCGTTAACCGCGACACGACCACTCCACACACCACCACTGAAACAACCTTCCCCACCAGCGGACATCAACAACACCCCACATCAACATCACCCCACACCAACCCACACAAACCACCAGCGCACTCCGATCACGCGCAGACAGCTCGCACACCATGCGGTGTTCACCTCGCTCACCACGCGCAAACCACGCGCACTACCACGCGCACACCACGCGCACACCACGTGCACACAACCACCCCATGCACACCGCGCCTTGGACCGCTGGGCATCGCACACCGCGCTGGTCCCGTGTAGCTGCCTGCTTCTCTCTGCGGGGCTGAGGACGCACACCCCGGCTTTTGCTTGGTGCTGGGAACAGTAAAAGTGCTGGGAACAAAATCCAGAGTCTGCGTCTTCTTCGAATACACTTTGTGTGTGTGCCGCGTGTGTGTGTATCAGATGGAAATTCCTCCAGTATATCCATCGAAGCTTTCTCAAACATGTTAGTGTAGGGTCAGAGGACATTGCTATCGCACCCCAATGTGAATAGAAAATGGCTCCAACTCATAGCTTTACCTGGGCCTGCCCACCATCATGAACAGTGCTCAGGGTCTCCAAAAGCACGAATAACCCAGAGCCCTGGTCTATTGATAGTATAATTGGCCTATGCAGCAGATGTGCCAGTTATTGTGTGGGGGTCGCTAGCCCCCGAGATCCCTCCCTCGATAATGCTAACGGCCGGGCTAGCATCATCAATCGCCCCCCCGCTGCTAAGCGAACCGCTGCTAAGTTCCTCACCCATGGTGTGGGAGCCGTCGCCCGAGGGTTCCACCCCACCGCGGGTCCGCGTAGCAGGCATGATTAATTACGTACGCGCACACCCACACACACAGCTCCGTACGGCACTCACTCTTGCGCTTCTCTGCGCCGCGCTGGCCGCTCACGTTACAATCGCGCACCTGGGGTACGCCGATTTCGCACGACGAGAGCTTACGCATACCCCGTACCACACGCGTTCACACTTATAACACGTAACGAGCACACGCCAGCGGGGCACACGCCGACACAACGACTAAAGTCGCCGCCGCCGTGCGCGCGAGATAAACCGTACAACAATGCGCAGCCGATTACGCTATGATCGCGCACCTGGGGGACGCCGATTACGCACGCTGCGAGCTTACGCACACACAGTACCACACGCGTTCCCACACGCTCACACTGCACGACAAGATCACGCGAGACCACGCTTCGCTATTAATGATTTATTACCTGATAACTAATGTTGAATTAGTGAGTCGACGAGGCTGGCCTATTCCACTAAACCGGCACCTATTCCCTATTTATCGGCTATGATTCTAAGTCACCTTCTTACTCACTGTTAAGTGTCCACGGCGGTCCGCTGATCCTTGTGTTAACCGCGTGCCTCGGTGCGTCGCACGGACGTCCGGGTCGCTGGCTCGAGCTGCGTCTGGTCGCCTGGCGCTGGAGTAAGAGAGCGATTTCCCCTCTGCGCTCCTCTATTTATCCTCCCTACCTCCAAAGGGGATGCTGCGCTGAACAATGGGCTCGTGCACCCCAAGCCCGCGCACGGCAGTCCCCAGGCGCTGTTGATATGCTAATCAGTGAGCGACGTTGGCGGCGTACATCCTAATTACTCCCTTACCCTTCCTAACAATGGGGCCTGCGCGCTCAAGCGCAATTATCCCAACCCCCCATGACTATGCGCAACAGCCCCTGTGACCCCGCTATTCATGCTGTCTCGTGCCTCCCCTGCTTGCCCCGTCGACTCGTGGGGGTGTGTGTGGGGGGAAATGCGCCTCAACCGCGGTGGCCGAATGCCCCACGCCGCGACCACACCATATTAAGGCCGGCAGCAGCACCGCGGTACCACGTAGCACGGGGGAGGTCATCCAATTCCCTGATCGCCGGAAACCGTGAGAATTAATCCCGATAAGGGTCTCTCGGATAAAAACCGGTCGATCAGGTAACCTTCCCTTCCAGCTCTATGGGGGGGGGGGGGGGATGCGTGCGGGTGTGTGCTTATGTGGGGCGGGTGATGGGGGGCAGTGCGGTGGGGGAAGCCGGGCGGCTCCCTGGCTCGGCAGAGCGGCCCCGTCGCTGTGGCACCACATAGCCCCCCGGGGTGCCAGTCCCCGTCCCGGGTTGACTTGAGCACCTCGCCTGGGTTGCCCCCACGAGGTATCGCCGCGGGGTCCGCGGGATTCGCCCGGCCCTTGTGGCTGGCCTCGGGGGTGGCGGCTCCATCTCCTGGGGCTCCGGCGGTGGTCTCCTCCTCCATTCCAACGGCTCCCCTCGGCCTCTGGCACCTGCGGGCTGGGGAACAAACTCAGAGGCGGTGGGGTTTAAGGGTCGCCGTCCTCGTCGCCCCCGGCCCCGCCCGGGGCCCCTCGGAGCCCGGGGCTCCGTGGGGCCCATGTACTGCGCGAGGCCCCCGGGCAAGGGGGTTGGGGGGACCCCGGGGTTTCGGGGTACTTGGACGGCGGGGCTCCCTCCCTCGGGGGCTGCTCGCCACGGCTTCAGTCGGCGGATGTTGACCACCATCTCCCGGCCCCTCTCTCCTCCCTGAATCAGTACCGTCCAGGGTGAGATCTGCCGTCTCACAATCCAGGGTCCTCGCCAGTAGGTGGTCAGCTTCCCCACCTGTCCGGCACCGACGCGGGGAGTGTACAGCCACACCTCGGAGCCCGCAGTGTAGAAGGGGGGCTCCATACGGGGTCGGGCGCCCTGCTCTTGCCGCTGGTGCGCGGCCTCTCCGTGCGGGTAGGCTCGGCCCATGGCCCCTCGCAGGGTCTCCAGCAAGTGCTCCACGGGGTGGCTCCCTTCCTCCCGTTGCGGCGGAGGGACACCGAACAGCAGATCTGCGGGCAGGCGAGACTCGCGACCAAACATCATTAGGAACGGGGTCTGTCCTGTAGAGGTGTGAACGGTGGTGGTAGGCGAACAGGGCATAGGGAAGGTGTTCGTCCCAGTCCTGTTGATTCGCGGCCGCCATGCGTTTAAGCTTCCCGGCCAGAGTCTGGTTCATCCTCTCTACCATCCCGTTCGCCTGGGGGTGATACGCCGTGGTTCGGTCCTTCTGGATCCCGAACTCTCGGCACAGTGCCTGAAATAGTTCGGCCTCGAATTCACTACCCTGGTCGGTAATGACTCGTTCGGGGATCCCGCACTTAAGTACGTAGTTTTCCACGAAGGCCCGGGCCACTACGAGGGCTGTTTTATCCGGGATAGCCACCGCCACGGGGTAGCGGGTGAAGTATTCCACCGCTACGAGAATATATCGGTTGCCCCGGTGGGATCGTGGAAAGGGCCCCTGCAGGTCGATTCCGACCAACTGATTCGTCCGACTGACTCGGAACGGCCTCAGGGGTACCTGGTACCTCGCCGGCTTTTGCCCACACTGCTGACAGGCCCGGCAGCCCTGCACCCAGGCGGCCACATCTTGTGCCAATTTGGGCCAGAGATACTGGCGACGCAGGGTCTCTCGAGTGCGTCGTTCCCCATCGTGGCCCCCGAGTGGGTGGTCATGCACCAGCCGTAGCAGCTGGGGTCGCACCTGGGCAGGAACACAGATGCACCCCGGCTGGCCGGCCTCGGTTAACTCCCGTACCACTCCGTTCTGCACACACAACCGGGCATACAAACCGCTCCAGGGTCCTGGTAGTGCATCCTTCTTCTCTCGCAGTGCCGCCTCCACCGCCGCCAGATCCGGATCTCGCTGCTGGGTCTGTCTCAGCTGCTCGTCGTTTAGGCCCGGGAAGGCGCAGCCGACGTCCTCCTGGATCCGTCCGATCGGGTCCCGAGCCGCGGGTCCCGCGCTTGCCGGGCGGTCGACGGGATCCTCAGTGCCACCTGTGAGGGTCTCTGTGGCGCACACTGCACTCTCTCTCGCTGGGGGGGGGTCAGTGGCCGCGGCCTCTCGGGGGTCCGTTGCCTGCCGGCAGCGTCCCCCCGTGAAACACGGGCAGGCCTCCTCCGCCCTCGTCTCGGCGTACACCGTGGGTCGCCTCGACAAGGCGTCCGCGTTTGCATGCGTCCGGCCAGCCCGATACTCGATTTGCAGGTTGTACTCCTGCAACTGCGCCAACCACCGGGCCATCTGCCCCCGTGGCTCCTTGAATGTAAGAAGGAACTGAAGAGCATAATGGTCAGTGCGTACGCGACATCTCCTGCCGTACAAATACGGCCGGAACTGTTTGCATGCGAAAATCACGGCGTACAACTCTTGGCGGGTCACGCAATAGTTCAGCTCGGCCCCACTCAAGGTCCGGCTGGCGTACGCGATGACTCGTTCCGTCCCATCCTGTACCTGTGACAACACCGCGCCCAGCCCGCTGCTGCAGGCGTCGGTGTCCAAAATAAAATCGGTGGTAAAATCGGGGAAAGCAAGGGTGGGGGCGTGGGTGAGGTGGTCTTTGAGAGTGGTGAAGGCCGTCTGGCAGGCCCCCGTCCACTGGTAGGGGTGCTTAGGGGAGGTGAGTTGGGTGAGGGGGCGTGCAATCTCGCTGAATCCTTTTACAAATCGACGATAATAGGTGGCGAGCCCCAAAAATGATCTGATCTCCGTCAGATTCCTTGGCCGTGGCCACTCCACTACGGCGCGTACCTTCTCCGGATCGGTGTGCACGCCTGCCTCGCTGACGCGATGCCCGAGGTACCCCACCTCGCGTTGTGCGATGTAACACTTACGTGGCTTGAGCTTGAGATGAGCCGCTCGCAGTCGCTGGAACACCTCTCGAAGCCTGGACCAATGCTCAGACAAAGATCTACTGAACACTATCACATCGTCCAAGTAAATCAGGCACTGTTCCCACTGCAAGCCCCGCATCACCAACTCCATCAACCGCTGGAACGTCGCGGGCGCGTTAGTGAGTCCGAACGGCAACACTCGAAACTCAAACAGGCCCATCGGGGTGGTGAATGCTGTTTTTGGCCGATCCTCCTCCGCCATCTCCACCTGCCAGTACCCGGACGCGAGATCGAGGGTGGAAAAATATCGCGCTCCGGCGAGGCTGTCGAAGGTGTCGTCGATGCGGGGTATGGGGAAGGCATCGCCGAGCGTGACTGCATTTAGTTTACGGTAATCGACGCAGAACCGGGTTGACCCATCCTTTTTCGTTACTAGTACCACTGGGGCTGACCAGGGGCTCGCCGAGGGCTGAATTATGTTATCGCGAAGCATGTCCCCAACCGCCTCTTTGATCTGGGTGCGTTCGGGTGCGCCCACTCGGTACGCAGGGAGTTTGATGGGTCGGGCTGCACCGGTGTCAATTTGGTGCTTAACAAGGTCGGTCCGACCCACGTCCGAGTCGTGTTCGCTGAACACGTCGGCATACTCCCGCAGTAAATCGCGCAGCCGATCGGCCTCTCC